ACAAAGTATTTCTGAGGTTTGTTTTAACAGCTGCACAAATATCCATGCTTTTGAAAACAATCTGGATTTGGCCTGCCAAAACCCCCTGATCTAAGGGTTTTATAACAGGAACATTACTACAGAATACAAGTGCTTTCCATGTAAAAATCAATAGCAATAGAAACATCCTTAACAGACTACATGGAGTCTTTGGCATCTCTTCCTTTGCTATTCCAGCCTTTGCTGCTCAGGTTTTATTTTGTAAATTTCAGTGTTCTACCAATGAACCTTTGAAGAAATGCTCTTGCAATTTTGAAAAGACCTATTAATATTTTACACCAGTTTTTCAGCACTAACAGGACTGCAATCTCAGTTCATTGGACTGATTTATTAGTCTTTCCTCATCATGCACGAGAGGAAAGACAACACTGTGAACACTAGATTAGAACATCATTTTATTAACTTGGCAAAAGGAAAGTCTTACTTAGAACCAGCATTTTAGGAGTCCCCAGAAAGAAGATTCAACAGCTTGCATAAATTATACAATCTAATAAATTTTCAATATTTAAAATTTGGTTCAAAAAAGAATAATATGGCCCAACTGGAATATTTACACCAATTCATTACACAAATCACCCCATATCATATTGTTAAAGTAGTATGGGAACATATCTTGCCTGGAAATCAATGCACTACTACAAGTAGTTGCTTAACAATGGGCCTTCCAGAATTATTAAAGTAAACATTTACATGCTAATGTAAATGAGTGAAAATGTTTGTGTGGCAGAACTGAAAGTGATCAGAAAAAATTTCTTTCAGTAAAATTGACACTACGTAAAATGACACAAAGGCAAAACTGACCCACCTACTCTGTTACCCTTCTTTGAAATAACTTCAGGGAAATTTCATGCCTTATAGCCTCCTAAGAGCAACTTTATAAACATGAGAAACAGCAAAGCTTTAACTAATAACTCATCTCTTTATTTAAAGATTACATGAAACAGACTCAGGGCAGACAGAAGTAGGAACATCTAACAGAAACCAAGCACTGAGAGAAGAACAGGACTGGGATGGTCCATTTTTTCTGAAGGTATCATCATTGCAGGGCACAAAAGTACAATGTTGAGATAAGGCTGGGGATGAGCTCCCAGAAGTAATCAGTATTTTATTACTGGGAACTCTTAAATATCTATTGCAGAAGCTCTTAATTTCAACAATGAATTAATCATTTATCTAATCTAATGATAGGTGAAAGCCCAGAGCAATTTTGTTTGAAAACGATGTAATCTTTACCCTTCTTCTCCTTGGGTTTCATGACTGTCCATATAATAACTATTTCAGAACTTGACTCTTGGGCATAGCCCTCTCTTGAAACATCTGAGGCCTCACAATAGATTTCAAGATTAATACATTCATGCATCACCACACAATTATCCTACAAACTTCCCAGGTCTATATAAACAAGAAAAAAAAAAAAAAGACAGTTTTAGGTTCCAGTTCATGTTGCCATTTTAATTGAGGGGGCATCAGTCTCACACAATTTTGTGCAACTCATTAAAATCTTCATCTACAGGAGTACTGAAAGCAACCCATAAATTCCCAGTTCCCAGCAGACAGCTCATCTATGATCTTTCTTCCCCTGCCCTCACTGAGTCTGATTCATGCTCAACCCAGGAGGATACTCACTATGTGCCAGTTTCTCTAACCTAATCACCTTAAATACTCATGTCCATTAAGTTTAAAGACCTTAGGACCATTAAATGGAACCTTTAGATACTAAGTCCCATATGGAGTAAATATCTTGGGTGGTTGCTCCATTGGAAAGCTGCCTTGGATTCAAGGGTGATCTCTATCAGGGTAAGATACCAATGTTCTTTATGTACTCCTTGATAAGAGCACAAAGCACACACAGTCCCCTCAGCACAACATGCAAAGCAGCAGAGCCATCAGTAAGCAGCTTCAGAAACAGGTCTGCAAACTATAAGGAGATCTCAGAGGGAAACTCAGCTTCAGAACAATTTTATCTTTTAACAGCTTCCTAATCCCCTCACCCAACTCCTGCAGCTTTACCTTCTAGAGACAGTTCAGCCCCCCCCACCTATGTCAACTCTTGCATCCAAATTTAACAGCTACAAAAATAAAATAAAAACGTGATAAGACAAGCTTCACAAAGGAAAATAAATCAATTTTTTTTAAGGAACAGCATTTTGAGGATAAAGCTGGAGTGCCTGCACTAAGCCATAACCTCTTTACTGATGTTTTTTTCTTTCCCCTTAACAGATTCAGGGACTGTAATAACATTTAATCCTCAGAAGCTAATCTAAATGTAACACTCAAAAGAAGACAAAGACAACGCAACAGGAAAAAAAAATGTGGCCACTGCCTTTTGGGAGTGCTGCTTTATCCCCGGAGTGAGCGCATTAATAGAGCTTGGAATGAAATGCCATTTTATTCTCTGTAGCAGGGAGGGGATTAGCAAGTTGTCTTCTCTAAACCCAGTCTGAGTCATGGCTCTATGAACACCGAGAAAAGGACGTGGAACGAAGTGAAGGGCGGGGAGCTCTGGCTTTTTATTTACACGCTTCTTCCTTTGTGGGTGGTTACTGATGTGCACAGTTGGCTAAACAGGGAAGCAAAGGGGGAAAGTTCTAGGTCCCCAGACTTTAATTCCGTTGGTTAACAAAAGAGAAAAATAACAATGCACCAATTATAAGAACATCATTGAGACAATATGTTCGTGGCAACTGTCCAATTTGACACAGCATGTAGGCAACAAGGGCAAGTTGCTTAAGGTGCTGAAAGCTGTGCTCAGTGGTTTCTTGTTGCTAGCATCATCTTCCTGGGAGAAAGAAACAGGTTGGACACAGCCCAGAAACAAAGAAAAAGGAGACACTAGGGTGGGAAGAATATAGAGACATGAGCAGGCTGGGTTCAGGTCAAGAGGAACAAAGTGAGACTGTTGCACAAGTCAGACCATGAAGGCATCAAGCCTAGTTGTTCTAACTTGAAGCAGAAACCAAGCACTAATGACTGTGTCAGTGATTTAATATGAAGCTCAGTGCCAGGTACTTCTGCATTTATACAAAGAAAGAGGAAGGTTTACCTGCCTGCTTCTGTGAAGGACATGCTGTGAAGGACCATGGGTACAAAGCTTGCACAACATTCCTAAGTCCTGCAGTGCTTGGAAATCACTGAGAGGAAATAAGTCTGTGGAACACTTAAGCGCTTGTGCAGAGTTGTAGGTGTTGTCACAAAAGTCAATTAATGTTTCAGATATCTTATCTTTGCTTCAACATGGACTTCAAAAAACAGGGTTCTCACTCCAGAAACAGCCCCAGCCCTCTTCTACTGTTTCTACTGTAAAGAAAAAGGAAGCATGATGTTGAACTTCTCCCTCAATTTCAGTAGTGTCATGCAGCTTGTCCCTTCTCAAGACATCCCCTAGACATGTTATCTTTCCATGCAAAATTCACATGAGGGCAGGTGTCTCCTGCAGCTGCAAGGACAAGAGCCTAAGGAATCTGTCCCTTTGACAGCTCAAGATCATATGGCTTTGAAACAGAAGTGCATTGTACAATAAGACTGGCAGATGATCAAGGCTCAAAGAAAAGAGGGAGGAATCCCTAAGAGACCATAAAGACATTTTCTGAATCTTTAAAGAAACAAGTCATTAGCATTTGTGTTGGTTTCAGCCACTAGCTCTTATGAGAAATGGCTGCATGCATGAGTTTCCTAAATTACCAGTCCTCATCTCCACAAGAAACAGAAGAGACCAAATGGAACTGAAACCTCAGGAACCAAACTTAAGGCTACTATAAAAAATAGGTTAGTTACAGTCTGCAACAGCAAATAAAGAATATAATCCAAGGTCCCAATCTCTTCCTCTACAAAGTCACAAGGATAAATCATTGCTACGTGTGTTCCCAATAACTGATCACACATCTGCAGAAGCAAATCCAAGAAAAGACTGATCAGAGACTGTCAGAACTTTATGTCCTATGAATTTTTAAAATTTTATTTTAAAATAGAATTTAGGATTCTGCTATGGAAAACTGCATGAAAATGCATGCAATGTGTTAGCTGCCTTGTTTTGGCTTCTTTAGCAACTTATTACTTGACTGTCCAAACAAAAATGTGAAATTACAACAGGTTATGTGATGCTTTGGCAGCCAAACATAATTTTAAATAAAGACAGCACAATGTACTGCACACCCCACTAACATATTCATCACTACTATATTATCTATTTATGCAATTAAGTATCATACAGTCTGGACTGGACCCAACTGGACTACATATGTTGCTACTCCAGTTTAGCGCATGTTGGCCAACTGTTTACCCAACTGAGATCAGAGTGCTGCTCTTGACAGTGTAATTGCTTTGGACTCATTAATATTAAAGAATTAAAGAAAATATTTCTTCTTGGACAGCTGTTAGTGCATGTGGAACAATAAGCTACATAACACTACTGGCAAATACAAATGGAATTTAGACACTAAATATGCTTATGGTAAAAAGACAACATTAAAGGTCCCTTAATTGTGCCAAGGCCAATAAAAAAGGTCAGAAAAACCATTGCACCCACTGTAAGAAAACATTCATGATAATTACAACTATTTTGATTGAAATTTACAGGGCTCAGATTTAGACTATTTATCTCCCCTGGACAATTAAAACTTTTGAAGTGGTGCCATTCTTCTCCTGCCATGTACAAGTACAGTGCTGCAACGTGCAGGTTAAATACACTGGGTCAAAGTTTGAACATATTCCATTGCTCTTTGGAAAACCCAGGGAAATATTCCCATTTAATGTGAATTTTCTCTCTCATTCCCCCTTGCAAGAATTAGCAACTAAATTCTATCAACCTTGGCACAGAAAGAGAGGATGCTAGCTTACAACTCCTCAGACCCCTAAATACCTGACAGCAGGTAATTTCACTGTTTATGGGAATGTCCAGAGGCTACACACAGAGTTATGAAATGCAACTAGAACTGCTGAAAAGAACAAAAATGGCTCCTCACTTTATCCACTCCTCGGCCTTGGTGGCTGCCTCCTGGTACTGCTCAGATGTCAGCTTGTAGATCTCTGCATTCTGAAAAAGAGAATATAATGCTCAGCTCTAAGAATCAAAGGCATCCCAGATCTTATCCTGTCACCGCGTTATCTTCTATAATTAATAACTATTTCCAACAACAAACAGCACATGCAGTTCAAAGAAAACAAAAACATGCTTAAAAGGTTGTTTTCTCCTCAGCAAAATGCATCAAGGCCACAACATGTCCTCCCTTCCGTGCTTCATCTTCGGGAAGCAAGAGAGGGAAAAAGGTCACTGATAACCAACCATCAGCTTGGATTATTTCCTGTAACCACAAAAACAAGGTGTTCCCGAGCACCAAGTTATTTTGACTTAGGTTGTGTTTTGTTCTCTTTTTTTCATTACTTGCTATGAAAGGTCTTGTAAGTTACTGACATGCAAGTATCAGAATTGGCTGCTAACACTGGAAAATCCATTTTACATTTAAGTGCTTCTACTTATGCTACTCATACTTTAAAAGAAAATTATGCTTCCTGTTTCCCTTTTAACAACATAGGGAGGCATATCAGGTATCAGTTAAGGCATTGCCAAACAGAGTCTGGAGTATCTTGCTGGAGGGCTTAAGAAGTTTGCATTAAATTCTCCTGAGCTTGCACAGAAAGAGTTTTCATTCACAATTGCTCAGCTGCTGAACACAGATGAATTCCTCCTCTCGGTCACACTTAGAAGCAGCAGAAGAGAGGGGCTGGGCACTCCCAGCAACCCCGCTGCAAGGTCTTGTGTCACTAAACTGCTGGTAAAGCTGCTTTAGGCAAAGCCTCTGGACTTTCTACTGAAATAGCTGCAATTGCCTCAAAGTTTATCTGCAACACCCTCCATCTGAGAAGGCACATGCAGAAAACATGTAATAATCAAAAAAAGTGACAAAATGGTATTGAAAGCAAGGACAGCTATTCACTTAGTGCTGGTTCTAGCTGTCTAATCTCTCCCCCAATTTGGGCATTTTTATACAGAAGGCTACTCTTGCCCTTCTGCATTTATTTTCCCATCAATGCAGCTGTGGTTCTACACATGGTGAGGTGACATGTATTGTTGAGCAGTTAGAAAAAGGAAAGGACAGATAACTCATGTTCTATTACTGGTTCTCCCACTTGTGCAATCTTGGGCAAGCCACCATTTCCCATCTGCAGGCGAGGGAAAACAGCTGCCTGTTCAGCTCCAGTTGTGTGAAGCTTAGCTAATTGGGAGGTTTATACAGGTTTGCAGAGCCTGGGCTTCAAGCTGTTATATTTAAGCATTTTATCTCTGGTGCCTGAATTTATGTCACATACCAAAAAAACTGCAGAACCTTGAACTTTGACCTAGGAGATAGACTTAAACTGAGAAATCAGGGATGAGTAACCACTTCAAAATGCATCTTGCCAGCAAAGAGTCATTCATGTTTTCGTTTACTTACTTGTTACACACTGGTCAAACTTCTATGCTATTATACCCATTTTTCTCCTTCTTATAACGAAGAGTTCAGCTTTTAATGGAGTCTATTAATGGTCCTGTAAACAGACCTCATGACTTTCAGCTCCCTGCTGCTACTTATTCACACATGAAACCACAAGACCTGTGCTTCATTAATTAAATTTGCCATTAAAAATTAAATAATGTGAATAAGTAGATGTAAGCGTTATCTCCATGGGTTTCCTAAGTCTCACCATTTCTCCAATTACTACCCAAGCAATTTCCATATTTCATACTGCCTGATTTCTCAAAGGGACCAGGTTTAAGAGCTCAAAATGAGAGAAAGTGGAAAAGAGAGAAAGCAAGGTAGTAAAATTAAACATTTTTCAGGCAATAGGAAGTAGCCCCGTCAGATACTATTAGCCTGCAGCACTCTGCAGTGAAACAGCAGCAGGAGAGGAAAACAGGAACAAATATGTTGTACGTGAGATGCAGCATGAGGTTGGCATTTAACCCACCTAAAGAAAAAATAGCCAACAGATGCATTTGCTGGTTACACTGTTGATCACACTGGTTGTGGAACTACCTCGCCTGGTTTACTAGAGAGGTTCACCTGCCCAGTTCTATGGTCAGCCTCATTTTCAACATCCTCAGCTACAAACCCAGGCAAAAATAGCTGGGAAAGAAACCAGTAAGAAACAGCTCCACTTCCTAAAGCTGATGAAAAGCAGGCAAGTGAGAACCTGAATGGAAAGGCAAGAATCTCAGTGAGGGAAAAGAGGAGAGACTTGGCCTCAAAGAAACCACAAGGCACATGACAGAATCAAGGAGAGGCATAGAAGACCTTTGACATGAAGATGAAAGCTGCTGAGTTTTAAAAATTAAGGGGAAACATCTTTGCATGTGATCCAAATGGGCTCTTGCCTTTGGATCAGACCTTTTTGCCTCCTTCTTCCCCTCTCCCCCTCAAAAACCCCAAAATCCAATGAAGCACTATTTCCTATGCTGTGAATCAGAATCTTTAAATGCTTCCCCAAGCAAAAAAAACCCAGAGTTTTACCATTTAAACCCAAGTTTGTTCAACAATCAGACTTGCTAAACAGGTTTTCCTTGGCCTCTGGGCCCTTACGTACCTTGGGAAAGTCTTGCTCATTTTTGTCCTAAACAGGAGCTAAATGAGCAACAGTTGGGCCTTTCAGCATGGGCACAGTGACAGCAGAGTCTGTGATCTCGGACTTCTACTTAGAATAACTTTTCAAGTATCCTCATCTGTATAAGTTCAGATGCAAGGTCTGCTTCATTTTCAGGATTTTACCCTATCACACTGTGACAGAGGATAACACTCTGACGCCCATCAAAAATTCAGGACTTCATAATGATGTTGCAAAGGAGGAACCAAGCTTGGAACCACCGATGCACTTCCAGCAACTAGAGCAGAGCTGCCCACACACACAGGGTATTCAGCAGG